GTAAAATTAAATATACTAAAACAAATAAAGGAAAGATATTTTTTTTAAAAAGAAAATAATAATAATAATAATAAAACTTATAAAAACACAACAAAATGGCTAAAACTTAAACTAAAAAGAAAAAATTTAAAATATAAAAATCTAATCTAATTCAAAACGTTAACCAAAACTATAATAGTATATGAATGATAAAAAAAAACCCGGCTTTAGACTAGTTTGTCGTCATTGACACCCTTAAATTTAAATATATTTTTTTGTGTGTGTGTGTGTGTGACGGAAATGTTACGCCCCTTACCATACTGTGATGCCGTGTCCCGGCGCGCCGAAACAAAAACATTAAGTTGAACTGTTCTGGAACAGTGTTGTAAATACAACTTAACCACTGATTTCTAGTTGTGTCCTCTTTTGGAAGGCCAAGCAAAGTAGATTCACTTTCACAACGAACTTTGGGTAAGGGAGGTATAGTCGGATGCGCATATATTCAAACAAAGATCAAAAGATGTGGCCAAAATACTAAGCCACATTTATTAAAATTAAACCTGCCTCGTATTATACATTTAGACCCAGTAAATCCAGTGCTGTCTTCTTAACAGAGAGAATGTGATGTAATACTGTCTTATTTTCTTCCTCTCCCTCTCTCCATTTTTTCTTCATCTCTGGTTCCTTTGATCAAAGGCCAGCCACCGGTTTCTGAGCGAGCTCTATAACCCCCTCTTGTATTTCCTGTCTCCCCCTTTGGCAGGTTTTGGCTACCTGACCAAGCAGCTGATGGGACTGGCTGGCGGCCGGCTGGTGCTCGCACTGGAGGGGGGTCACGACCTCACCGCCATTTGTGATGCCTCTGAAGCATGTGTTTCTGCTTTGCTTGGAAACGAGGTAAGAGCCGATTGGAGGAGGGTGACTCAGGGATGGACAGGGCTTTATGAATGGAGGAAAAGATGAAGGGATTTTACAAAATGACAACATCCTCCAATGTTCAGCAATAGTTTTTTTTTTTTTCTGCTGGCTCAACTGGGCCAGTCATTCAAGATTTGACTTGCCCTGAGACAAACTTTTTTTTTTTTGAAATGTGAAATGTGTCATTTCTGCAGTACTGGTGGCACTGAACAGAACTGGAAAAAGAATTACTGTCTTCGAAGTATTTTCAAACAATTTCCTCCCTTTCATTGTTCGGACAAACATATATTCCTGCCATTGTTTTAAGCAAGGGATTTTATCAAATGATGCCATTTTATGGAACAGAAATTACAAATGTAACCTGTCCACACTTTCCTTTCCTGAAATATTTTTTTATTTATAAAATGGGTAAAAAAATAAAAAAATATATAATCACACACATAATTTAGTAATAAAAATAATAATTTACTCAACCTGTCTGCACTCCACTTTCATTAAAAAAATTTAATATATAAAATAAATGTAAATTATACATATATACACACACATATATAATTATATAGATAGAAAATATATATCTATCTATGTGTGTGTGTTTGTGCATGTAATTTTTTGTTTTATTTTATATTTATATATTTGTTTTTTACACATAAGTGGTGTAGACAGGTTGAGTAATTAAATTAAAAATTATTATTTGTATTATTAATATTATTAACTAAACTCCGCTTCCTGTAAAAAAAGAAAGTTTATATAAAATCTATTATATATATATATTTTATATATAATTTATTTTTATAGAAAAGTGGAGTTTTGTTATTATTTTTAATATTAAACATTTGAGTTTTTTTTATAAGTTAAATAATCAATTTTAAGCATTCCTGTGCAATAGCTGGTCTTTGCTGGGCATAATTTTGAGTCAGGTGGACAGTTTTTTACATTGTCTCACACCATGAATTGATGTTTTTAAGGCAGTGTGCCAAGTTAAAAATAGTTCGAGTTTTACAAAAGAATCTTGAGCACCATTGTGTGTCGTCTAGCTGGCTTTGAGTGCAAAGAACACGTGTATGACACCCTAATGTTTGCTGGCCCTGTTTTGTCAAGCCCCGTCCTTTTTCCTCCCACCCAGCTTTTGTCTAGGGTGTCACAGACTACATGTTTGTCAGGGTGTGTAGTTAGCAGCACTCCCTTTGTGCTGGCCAGCCACCAAGGTTCAGCTGACACGGTCATAATCCAGTCAGAGGGTGGGAGGGGAAGAATAGCAAACGCTTCACTGTCCGCACACACACAAACAAGACAAATGAAGCTGTAGGGCATCATTTATCCGCTTGTCTCTGTCAGATGAAGAATCATTTCTTTTATCTTTCCATCTCTCATCTTCACTGCTATTCTTTCTATTCATCTTCTTTCATTCAGGGCCTTTCCTTTCTCTTTCTAAATCAAATACGCTCTCATTTTGGCTCTGCCTTGCTGTCTAAACAGTACACTAAATCTAAATGAACCTCATAAGTGAGTGATTTGGAACACTTTACATAGGCAGCAGCTTATTGCATCCATCCTCAAATGATTTCAATAGAGCTTGACATTAGCATGTTGCTAAGATAAATATGTGATACTCTAACCAGCAAAAAATACTATAGCAAAACCAAATAGACTGTAATGTTTTTCTGAATGACTAATCCACTAGTACACATGAACAGCTAGTGTGACCCATACATGTACATGGGAAAGGAATGACCTTTTTCTTTTACCTATAGGGCACCACATATCTCCACAGTGGTAGGCTTGTCAGGAAATATGTGCACTAACTGAACTGGACCCGTTTGCTGTAGAGGAGAAGTGCGTAATGGCAGCCCTAATGCAATAATCATAATCGGTTTACCTCCACCAGCATTCAGACTGTGAGTCTGCAGGCCCGCCTGGCGCTGCCTTCATCTCCAATTTACCCCATGGGAAGCTTTGTTGTCATAGCAGGAAAAGGATAGAGGAGACGGAGGCACTGAGTAAGCAAAACTGCTCAGTAAGGGCCCGTTTCAGCTGCCTATCGAGTGCACTCCCTAGAGGGATGTTGAGAGGGGGCTCAGAGTATCTCACGCTCGCTCTTCCCTTTCAGCTTTCAGACGCTACCAGCAGCCCATCTGAAAGCAGTTAGCTTCACACCTCTCGCAGACGGGGTCACTGACAGCCAGAGAGACAGAGACAGACTTAAAGTAATCAAAGGAAATTAGGTAGCACAAAATACAGAGGAAGCTTATGTCATAAAATCAGAGAGTCTAATTTCAGAGTAGAAGAACCGACTTTCCCATGAGCATTGGACACTCAGAACAACTTGTGCCACATTAGGACGCTTCGGTCCTCTATAGCTCACACGTCATTTAATATTGCTCGTCTCAGCCTTTTCAGTCCAACTATGAAAATCGGAGGCCTTGTTTAAACGCATGTTTCTTGTGAAGTAATGCATGTTTTTTGTGATGGTGTTCGTTGTGTTTTTTTATATTTATTTTAATTATATTCATATAAAGATACATTTTAAAAATTGTGTGTGTAATGAGTTATATATGAGTTATATATATAATGGCATATGTTATTGCCAACAGGTATTAAACATACACAGTAAATTTTGCAGTGTTAAATTAACTCTATAAGAGTTGAATTTAACACTACATAATCTTTATTTATTATTAGATATTATTAATATTATTGAATATGTTTGATATTATCATTAGATTGTTTTTATTTTTCGAATGTTTATATTATCTGTATTTTGCTTGTATAATGTGTCAACAGGTATATTCTACTCCATAATATCTACATTATATTTAATAATAATTAGAGTTATTAAACAATGCAATATCATCTTTAAATATTCCTGTTGTAATTTTTTATTATTATTACAATTAGATTAATATTAAATTATTTTCTATATAATCATACAACAAAAATGTGTATATTATTTTCTAAATGATCATATAAAAAAATTAATTGTATAATGATCCATTGTATATATTAAACAATTGAAATATTGTACTCTATAATATTTAAAGATTACATGGTTTATTATGTTTAAGAATTATTGTTATTAGATGTAATAGCATAGTATAAACCTCAACTGTAACAGAATATGTTTTAAATATTATTACCATTATTATATTTGTATATTATATTAATAATTATATTATTATAATTATAAGGACAATATTATAAAAACAATATATCTTTATTTTTCTATATTTGTATTGTTTTATTATAATAATAATAATAAGAAGAAGAAGAAGAAGAATTTAAAATAATACTTAAATATTTCATATTTAAAAATGTCAACATCCATAATGTTAGCATTATATTTAATAATAATTAGAATTATCAAACATAATGTTATATAGATTTTTTTCTTTTGTCATTGTAATATTATCATTAGATTTATATTGTATTAATGATTATATTTTTATAAGTTTTATCATGTATCTTTTATCATTTCTATACAATGATACAAAGTTCTTTCGCTCGTCTCTGCCTTTTCTGGCCAACTATGAAAATTGGAGGCCTTGTTTAGATACATGTTTCTTGTAAAGTAACATGCGTGTTTTTCATGGCACCCATTCAGTTCAAGCACACGGTCACTTGACGACCCATGCAGGACCCATGCAGGACCCATCTCAGGCCAGATAGAAGATAATGAGAAACAAGAGCACGGACTGTAATCAGTATAGCAGGAAGCAGGTTTTTTATTATTTGCATTCAGGCCGACATTGTAACGGAGGTGAAGTTCAGGGCAGTGAGTAGATGATGTGGATAGAGTCTGAGAGCTTTGGAGAGCGTGTTTGAACTAGAGACTCATGGGATAACAGGTGCTGCAGCTACCCCAACCTCTACACGCCTGGTTTACTCATTCAGTTCTCTATTACTTGGAAGGTAATATGATAAAACTGAACACACTACATGAAGCCATGAAAATTAAGTTGTATGCAAATGCAATTATGATTGTTCATAATCATGTTCATTACATAAACATCAAAAGATTAACTGAGAATGAGTTTTAATCTACTGGTATCATTCATTTATACATTATTCATTCCCAGTGTACATTTTTATAATGTAATATACACTGTATATATTACATTTATTTTTTTAAAAATGAACACACACACACACACATACATACAACAAAATTTAATATTTAAATATTACATAGTTTATTATGTTTAATAATTATTGTTGTTAGATATAATAATATAATCTGTAAATGTATCAGAGTAGAATATTTAGGTTATTTCTAAATATTATTACCATTATTTATATTTATATAATATATTAATTATTATATTGTTATAATACATATATCTATATATAGATATATCACCATATAATTTAATATATTACTATAAAGATATATTTAAAAAAATATAAATAATAATTAATAATGTGTGTATATTATAATAATATAATAATTTAAAATGTCAACAGGAATATTCTACTGTAGTAATTATCATTATTAAACAATGTAATGTAATATTTAAATATTACAGAGACCTTGTTGTCATTTTTGTTGTATTATCATTAGATTTATATTATATTAATAATTATATTTTTAATCATATACATTTATATTTATATAAATACTCTGTTTTACTCTGATTATGTTTGGTATAGACCAAAACTGTCAGTAAATAAAAAAGCAATCACGAATGATCTTCTGATGTTTTTTTTTTATAAGTAATCATAACCTAAGTATGGTCCTATAAAGGCTATTGTGTCCAAATCGTGTTCAGAATATACAGTATAAGCGAAACCACATGCCGACATGATCTTGTCACTTTAAAGGTCCCCTGAAATGCTTAGAAACACGCAGCGTTACTCTATGTGTTGACTTCATTTTAACTGAAACAGGAAGACAGGGCGGGACATATCAAGCAGCCCCGCCCCTTTTTAAAATAGCCAATAGCGTTCGTTTATATATCACAGCTTGGGCTAGAGCCGTTTGA